GTTTTATATTTCTTAAACACATCTCTTTCTTTCAGGTATTATTCAGTGCTTGCTTGAGGGATTTGGGTTTGGCATCGGTCCGATAATTGGTGGTTTTATGGTGTATTCCATAGGAATCCGTACGACATTCTTTCTATTTGGTGCTTTTGCGGCTGGTGTTGGTATATTCTCTATGTGTAACCATGGACTTAGCAATTTTATGAACGGAACTAAGATAATTAATTATAATATGGGAAACTCTGATGAAGAATGATTGACCCGGTGAAAAGTTTAAGAGGGCTCGCTAACATTTTTTTCATTGGACATTTCTAAAAACCTTCCAGCAAGAAAAACAAACTATGACAAACTATGCAAACAAGCACAACAAACATGACTTGAACATAAAAAAAGGTTAGAATAAGAAAAAAATATATGCCTGGAACACATACAGTATGTATTTATAAGGAATTTMGCTTTCATTTGTGAAACACAACAATTAACATTCAAGCAAATCCTCAAAACGAACAAAACACACAAATAACAAGAAAACTGAGGCGGATAGCTGTCATCTACTTTACTTGATCGTCGAGTTTTTTTATTGTTGATTACGTAGCTTGTTTAGTATTGCAGTACATATACCTAAACACTGTTTTAACATTTTTATTCAAAGTAATTATATGCTGATAACATACAATTGAAGATGTACACTATGCTTAAGGGAGAGGTATTTACACTCTTTAGATTATAACTGAAGATTAATAACTGTCTATGATATGACGAATTATATTATAAGATTATCGGGAATAAAACACACTAAAAAAAAAAACTTATTAATATAGAGACTGCTCAAGTTCCTCGGAACAGATTAAACAGGCTTGGAACTTGAATATGGTTTCTTTCATCCAGATTGAATACGTTTGGAACGTAAATCGATCTTAAAACTGTTTTATCTGGCAGGGGTAGCTGGAGAGTCTGCAGGAGAGGGAGCTGGTGCGGGGGCAGGACCTGGTGCTGGTGTAGTTTCTCCATTGGCACCCTCTCCGCCGGCAGGATTCCCAGCTTCACCGGCTTCGGATCCAGACCCTGATTCTCCATCTTCTTTTGGACCTGAAGTCGATATGAAATTATATATCAAAATCGATTGTTTTATTCTAAGTAAATCTGGATAAGATCTTAAAGATCACTTGTTTAAGCAGATTATTTATAGAACACTATTAGAAAAGATCGTTATAGAGAAGAGATTTTTGTATATAAATCAAATAATTAGAGAATAATCAAAAAACCTTAACGACACATAATTAATAAGCTATTATAATATATAAAAAATACTTACAGCAGATCCAGTGGGGAAGATTAAATCCACCACAGCAGTTGCCTCCTCTGCAACCGCCACACCCACCACATCCTCCGCACCCCCCGCATCCTCCACACCCTCCGCATCCACCACACCCTCCGCATCCACAACCCCCAAATCCACCGCAACCTCCCCATCCTCCAGGGAAGCCGCCATAAACACCTCCTGGACCACCCCAGCCAATACCCCATCCAATGAGGTCACCACTCATCACATCGCATCCTGGGAAGGTGTAAGGTCCTCCCCAACCAAATCCCGGGTATCCATAGCCATATCCACCCATTGGGAATCCAAGTCCCATACACCTCTTGTGCGCTTTGCGGCCTTTCTGAAATGGAAGAAAGGAAAAACACATATATAAATAGAATAATCTATATCGCCTATCTACATATATCTCTTGCATGTAACGAAACTAAGATATTTGTTGTCTTGGGAACTGGAATCCATTAATTTGTCCTCAGTTGAAGACATGAACTTTCATGTGGTGGGTCATTTTTTTACTGCCACGTTGACCTTCTTCTTATTTTCTCTACACAAGAGATATTGATAACATATATTTCAAGGCGAAGAAAACAATCTTCAATCTTTRATGATATATTTCTTAATTTGACTATAAGAAATTCTGTTTGAATGAGTGAATGTAAGAATCTTGCCCCGTCATTTGACGAGATTTAAAGATTGAAGGATTATCATTTTTGGATGTCATTTACAGAAGTTCAAAGACATTACAAATATTGATTGTTAAGTATACTACATTAATGCAGTGTAAACCCGTGAAATACAACCTTTTTGCCTTTATTGGTATCATACTCCAACACTTTGTTTCATGGCTTTTTGTGAAATACTACTCAAGTTGCAGGAGATAATTTTAGGGAAAAAATCATGTGAAATAAAGACTACATCTTCCTTTACTTAGTTTAYCTCAATCCATGGTAAGTAGAAGGAAGCTGTCAAAACTAAAATAG